AATATCCTCCACAGTACAGCTGTAATGTTATTCCTAATCAAAAATACCACAACCCTACTCTCTTGCCCGCCTCCCCCCTTCTACCAATCCTATAGCATCGATACCCTGGAACATTAAGCTGCCAGTCCTGTCCATCCCTGAGCCACACTTCTGTAATTGCTATGATATCCCAGTCCCATGTTCCTAACCATGCCCTGAGCTTATCTGCCTTACCTCTTAGGCCTCTTGCATTGAAATAAATGCAGTCTAATTTATCAGTCCTACCTCGTTCTCTGCTTTGTCCCTGCTTGCCCCGACTGACTTCCTCCTTTTCCAAACTGTACCAGTCTCAGACTGATTTCTTTCCTCACTATTTCTCTGGGTCCCCACCACGCCCAACCCTCCCCCATCAGTTTAAATCCTCCTAAGCAGCTCTAGCAAATCTCCCCACCAGTATATCAGTCCCCTTCCAATTCAGGTGCGATCCGTCCTTCTTATACAGGTCACTTCTACCCCAGAAGAGATTCCAATGATCCAAAAATGTGAATCCTTCTCCCCTGCACCTGTTCCTCAGCCACGCATTCATCTGCTCTATCCCCCTATTTCTACCCTCACTGGCTCGTGGTATCGGGAGTAATCCAGAAATTACTACCCTTGAGGATCTCCTTTTTAAAGTCCTGCCTAACTTCCTATATTCTCTCCTCAGAATCTCATTCTCTTCTCTTCCTAAGTCATTAGTTCCAATGTGTACAACAACCTCCTGTTAGTCCCTCTCCCCTTTGAGAATATTCTGCAGCCTCTCTGAGATATCCTTGATGCTGGCAGCAGGGAGGCAACACACCATTCCGATGCCTCGCTATCAGCTGCGGAAATGTCTGTCTCTGCCTCTGACTAGAGAGTTCCCTATCACAATCGATCACTTGGAACCTGACGTGCCCTTTGTTACATTAGAGCCAGTCTTGGTACCAGAAATCTGGCCTTCAGTGCTACATTCCCCTAGAGTCCATCACCCCCTACCTTTTCTAAAACAACATACCTGTGTGAAATGTGGATAGCCACAGGAGACTCCTGCATGATCCGCCTCCCGCTCCTACCTTTCCTGGAGGTAACCCATCTATTGGACTGTATCTTCAGTTTATCTCCCTTCCTGCAACTGCCATCCATCACACCCCCAGATCCTGTAAATTCCTCATTGCCTCTATCTGTTGTGAAGGAGACGTAAGGTGATTTCAGATGGACATAAATAGTTTGAGTATGAGGGAAAAAACTTAGCAGATGGGGTATAATGTGGAAATATGAAGTTGTTTACTTTGGCAGAAAGAATGTGAAAGAATATTAATGAAATGGACAACAACTGAGGAATTCCAAGGTCCAGAGGGATTTAGGTGGTTAAATAACTGAGTCACAAAAAGTTAGTATGCAGAAACAGCATATCATCAGGAAGGCTAATGGGATGCTATCCCTTATTATTAGAGGACTGAACGTAAAAGTGACAATGTTGTGCTTCAGTTATACAGCATTGGTAAGATCACATCTCAAATACTGTCTACAGGTTTGGTCTCCTTACTAAGAAATGATGTCAATGCAGTAGAAATATTTCATTAGAGATTTACTAGATTGATACATGAAATGGGTACGTTTTCTTATATGAATAGGTGGGACAGGATAAACTTATTTCCATTGGAGTTCAAAGGACTGACAGTGACTCAATTGAACTGAATAGTCTTGATAAAGTGGATGTTTCCTCTTATGGGTCAAACCAGAACCAGGCTCTTAAATTAGGGGTCGACCTTTCAGGACAGTGATGTCTTTCTCTCAAAAGATTGAGCAACTTTGGAAGTCAGTGCCTCAATGGGTAGTGGAAACAAGGTCATTGAATATTTTTTAAGACAGAGGTAGATAGCTTAGGCAAGGGAATCAAAGGTTATTGAGGGGTAGATGAGAGACAGGATTTATTCACATTTGGAAGTGAATGGACTTGTTAGTGATAGGGAGAATGGTTTTGTGCGGGGAAGGTCATGTCTCACCAACTTGATTGAGTTTTTTGAGGAGGTAACAAGAATGATTGATGAGGGAAGGGCAGTGGATGTTGTCTACATGGACATTAGTAAGGTATTTGATAAGGTACCTCAAGGCAAGCTGGTACAAAGATAGAGTCTCATGAGATCCAGGGTGTGCTGACTAGGTGGATACAGACCTGGCTTGGTCATAGAAGACAGAGAGTAGCAGTGGAAGGGTGCTTTCCAGAATGGAGATCAGTAACTAGTGGTGTTCCACAGGGATCAGTACTGGGACCTTTGTTGTTTGTAGTATAAATAAATGAGCCAGAGGAAAATGTAGGTGGTCTGATTAGTAAATTTGCAGATGACACCAAAATTGGTGGAGTTGCAGAGAGTGAAGAGGATTGTCAAAGGATACAGCAAGATATAGATAGATTGCAGATTTGGGCAGAGAAATGGCAAATGGAGTTTAATCCAGACAAATGTGAGGTGATGCTTTGTGGAAAATCAAATTCAGGTGAGAATTATACAATAAATGGCAGAACCATTAGGAGTATTGACATTCAGAGGGATCTAGGCATCCAGATCCACAGATCACTGAAAGTGGCTACTCAGGTGGATATGGTGGTCAAGAAGGAATACAGCCTGCTTGCCTTCATTGGTTGGGGCATCAAATATAAAAACTTGGGAAGTTATGTTACAGCTTTATAAAATTTTAGTTAGGCCACATTTGTAACACTGTGCAGTTCTAGTTGCCACACTACCAGAAGGACATTATGGATGTTGTGGAGAAGGTGCAGAAAACGTTTACCAGGATGTTACTTGGTCTGGAGGGTTTTAGGTATGTGGAGAGGTTGGATAGACTTGGATTGTTTTCACTGTAAAGATGGAGGCTGAGGGGCGATCTGATAGAGGTCTACAAAATTATGAGAGGCATAGATAGGGTGGATAGTCAGAGACTTTCTCCCAGGTGGAAAAGTCAACTACAAGAAGGCACAGGTTCAGAATGAGAGGGAGAAAGTTTAAGGGAGAAGTGTGGGCAAAGTTTTCACACACTGGCTGATAGATGCTTGGAACACACTGCCAGTGGAGATGATGGAAGCAGGCACACTAGTAACGCCTAAGACCTATCTTGATAGACACGTGAGCAGGAGGCGAGAAGGATAGACACCGTGTATGGATAATAGATAGTAAGTCTAAATAAGGAATAGGAATTGGCGCAGGCTTGGTGGCTGAAGGACCTGTTTCTGAGCTGTATTATTCTTTGTTCTTTGTTCTCATTGAATGATGGACCAGGCTTCAGGGGCCAAATACTTTCTTCCGCTCCTATTTCATTTGTTTGTTTGTTTACTGTGAGTGTGAGCAAACCTTGAAGAACACCTGTCAAGTTCATTCTTGTTTTTACCTAATTTGTAGAAATGCACATTTTCCTGAAGCTAGGATGATAGCTGGTTTTCATCCTAGCTTGGGCTACTGGGGTCAATTATTGTTCCCAGTACTACCTTGGATATGATCAGCTAATTCAGCACAGATTAATAAATCATACTTGGGACTTTCTTATCGGTTTGTCTCAGGACATCACAAAATAGGTTCCATTCTATATTGTTGATAATTAGTCACGTTTGCCAGGGGCTGCAGAGAGAGAGACAGAGAAAGAGAGGTAGGCAGACAAGCTTCTGACATCATTGCCTGGGAGATGCTGACCAGAGGCTGGAGCGAAAGGTGGAGACAGGGGATGCCAGTCGCTAAAAGGAGATACTAGATGTAAATAAATGCTGATATAAAGAAAGAAGCAGCTTGTGAACTGAGGATAACCCAGACCTAGGAACTGGCCTGAGCCGGTCAGAACCACTTGGTGCCAACCAAGTTCTGCAAAAAAAAAGTAAGAAAGATGAGGTAATGCAAATGTCTTATTTGGATAAGGGGAAATGAGGTAATGCTACCTAAGTCTCCGGTCCAGGGCCAGTAAGGTAAAGACATGCAATAATTGAATTAGCCTGAGCCAACAGGAAAAAGACAAAACAACTTGAGAAAGATAAGAAAAAAGGATAAAGGCAGACCCTCGGGGCATGCAGCCAGCGAAAACTCTGGAGATCAACTTTCGCAGAAGTGCACATCCCTCATCAGGAACGTGGTGACCTTGGTATCAAGTGCAGCGTCTGGCCAACATCAGTCTTCGGCAGTCACTGCAGCTATTCTGCATGGGTATTGGCTTTTATATTCTGTGATTATTCTGAAAGTGTTAGTAGCCGTTTGTGGGTGTACAAATAGGTTCTAGTTCTTTCTGTGATTATTCTGGAAGTGTTAGAGACTTTTTGTGGGTGTACAAATAGGTTCTGATTCTTTTGGGAAAACGTATGAGTTACTTGTGTATTGTCTAATGTATAAGCCATACATGTACCTTTTCATAATACATAAATAAAAGAGGTTAATAAGTTATAGTAAAAGAGACTCCTCCTATCTGTACGAGCTGCTAACTGGAGCCGGTGTTTGCCGGGCTTCAAGTCATTTCTAAAAATAATTAAAAATAAGAAAGACCATTTAATGAATATTATGATTGTTTAATGTTTTCTTGAATTAACATAGTATATAAGTGAAATTTGTTTACATTTGGTGGTTACATCAGCTATTAAGAAAAGAAACAAAAGCAAAAACTCCAGTTACAATAGTATATTTTGGGACAGGGCTTTGGTAGATGGAAGGATTGTTGCATCTCTGTTATGGACGATGGATTTTCCATTCACAGTTGTAGAAATTTAATATAATGAATCATTTTGCAACACATTCCACACCCCATCATATTTTTGATTCCCCAATCCTTGGCTCCATTTCTTTTCAATTTATCAAATTTTCATAAATTATGCTAAATAAAATCAACATTTTTTAAAAACAATCTTATATCTCTAAAGTTGGATAAATTTACACATTAGTAATGGAATCGTTCCATTCCCAGACATACTCGTCTACTAACAGTGCTATTTTGGTGCTTTGAAAATCTTCTCTGTACACTTCACGAATCACTTATGTTTGCACATCACCAGCTACATGTTGCTGCATCTTGGAAGTGTGGATTTCAAATGTCTGGCCATTCTTTAAGGTAACAACTGCTTTCTTCCCTAATGACAGATTCAGTTTGAGAGTACTCTTACTTGGCTCATCTTCAACCAACACCTGAATTAACTGAAATAAATAATTACAAGGTTTAAAGCAAATTAGCTTCTTAAACATTATGAAGATAATTATTAGCAGTGACAAAAGCATATTAGAATATTCCTCAAGAATATTGTGAAACTAGAGAGACAAGGAGGGTTAAGACAACAGAGGACTTTAAAAGCCAGGATAAGAATTTTGAATGTGTAGCACTAGTGGTCAGGGGCCAATGTAGTTCAGGAAGCACTGTTAGATGGATAAGTGGGACTTCGTGCAGAATAGAATATGCAAAGTTTTATAGAGAGTAGGAGAGGGAAGCCCACTCAGAGACCACTGAAGTAGTTGACACTTTAGGTGACAAAGGCATAGATCGTTATTTCTTCAACAAATTTGGCATAGGGAGGAGCCAAGACAGGCAATGTTATAGAAGTGTAAGTCAGCACCTTTGTGATAGAGACAGGAATAACAAACTCAGCTTAGAGTCAAAAAATGTTTGTGAATGGTATTCTTCAACCTAAGACAGTAGTTAGTGAAGAGATTGGAGCACATTGATGCAATATTCCATATTTTTTACCTGGAGGAAATTGTCGCTCCTCCAAGACTACAGGCAGAATTTTCTGGATTTAGTCCCTAAACACTAAGCAGGACTATTTTCCCTTCGGGGACCAGCTTTACTAATGGGCAGACCTAACTGTGGATTTTGAACTCATGCACAACATTAATAGACTACATTTGGTTGTTCAACCAATTAGCATGAGTGGATAGGTTGATGCATCCAGAATATCAAAGGAAGGATTTCAAATTAAGGGTCCACCTTGCGTTACAGGGTACCTCTGCATTTAAAATTATGAGGGGCTCAACTATACAAATGGAAAGGAGACCCGGGAAGGCTGCACTGCAAGTTTCTCACCTTTACCTGGAGGTTCTCCTGTGGGATTCAAGATGACCTTGAAGGTCAGCAGCAGGAGTGTGCTCTCTTCACCTTCCTAACATCTTTGTGAGAATCCCTCCAGCCCAAAGATGCAGCTGTTCAAGAAGGGAAATTAGGGATGGGCAATAAATGCAGGCCTAGTAGCAATGCCCATTTCTCATGGAAAATAAATCAAAAGACAGTGATAAGAGTTTCTTGTGCCTCAGCAGGGCATGATAGGCAAAATAACATTGTTAGGTGCCAAGGTCTGTGCACTGCCTTGCCCAGCATTGTCTGCACAGAACCACTCAGGACAAGACTCTTTACAGCTCCAATCATTCCTGTTTCTCAAAGTAACTGCTCACATCCCCATCTGAGCAGTTAAAACTCACACTCACCTACAGCCATACCTCATAGATAAATTCCACAAATTGAATTCTCTCCTCCTACATAGGCCATTAGAACACTCTTTGCTTTCTCTCTTTTCAGAAGACAGTACACAATTGAGCAAAAGGCAAAGACCTGGAGTTGGGTGGTAGTGGTGGGGCTGGGAGAGGAGGGGGCTGATAAAGGGTGTAGTGGCCTCCTGACTGCTAAAACACAGATAGATTGTTAAATTGGCCAAACAGTAAGGAATGTTGGGTTACATTGACCAAGTAAAACTCTGAAATCACAAAACCTATACACCAGACACAGTACAAACACAGCAGCCAGGTGCTAATGATATTAGCATAATGTAAAAGACAACAGTTATTCTGGACAGGTACCCCAACAATTTATCCACTAAACAAAGGAGGACCCGGACAGAAAGGCACCGTGTCCTGCTACACAAAGAAATTAATAGTAACGTTCCATCTAAATGATTGACTCTTGCTTCAAACTATTAAGTGTATCTCCCTGATTAACCAGAGGTGTAGAAAGTTCCCAGAAAACCATCTAAAAGGTTACCTCTCTTAGAACCACTCTCGGAATCTTGGGAACGTTTGAGGCCTTCTGAGGAGACCAGCATGGCAAGAGGTAGAGACCATCCAAAGAGAGAGAGGGAGAAAGCACCTTTGCAGACCCAGAGACAGAACCATAGAAAGAGCAACTGCATAAATTTATAAGAGACTCAGTAAGTATTGTAACATTAAGGGGCCAAATAGGATTAGGGATGGTTTGTTTAGTATTAAAAATTATTGTAATTTTGTTCCTAATAAAGTGGGATTGTTTTGTTCTGGTACTGGCTTTTGTTCATATTGATTTGATCGCTTTGGTACTGTGGGACACCTGGGCAAATTCATTCATAACATTCTGGTCGCAGTTTTCTGTAACTTGTTTAAAGAGGAGCCAGTCAACAGGGGCTTGGCTTGATTGTATCAAGCGCCTTGCTAACCATTGTTGATGTGTGCCAACCGGCTCCACTGGGAGGATGGTCGTGTTTCAGAAGGTTACAGGTGTCAGTAGCAACTTGTGTGAAAGCCTGAGCTTCCTGAGGCACTGCAGTGTACACAAGTTGAGGGACTCATCCTCTACCTGCACAACCTGTGTTATGTCTCTCACATCCTTCTATCTAAGTCATAGTGTCACCATTTCTGCACCATGGGGGTGGGGGAGTGTATTTGAAGTATGTAGCTGGTGCTGCTGCTGCCTGCTGCCTGCTGACTCCCCAAAGCCCGTTCATCAACTATAAGGTGCAAGCCAGGAATAAGATGGAATACTCCCTGCTTGCTTGAGAGAATGCAACTCGGACAGCAATCAAGAAGTATGCACCAGCCAGGATAAAACAGTTTTCTTGATTGGCATCACTGTCGCTCAGCAGCAGTAGTATGTACCATCTAGAAGATGCTGTGCAGAAATTCACCAGGGTTCCCTCAACAGCACCTTTCAAACCCCTGATCGCTATCATCTAGAAGGACATGGGCAGCAGATACACTGGAAAACCAACACCTGCAATTTCTACCCTAAGCCAGCCACTCTCCTAATTTGGAAATATATCACCATTCCTTCAATGTTGCTGGGTCAAAATCCTAGAATTCCCTCCTTAATGGCATTGTGGGTTTATCTGTTCTATGAAGGAAATTCTTAAAATGGAGATGGTTCAGAAAAGACTTACCAGGAAGTTGCCGGGAATGAAGGGTTTGAGTTATAAAAATAGGCTGGAACTTTTTACACTGGAGCATAGGATATTGAGGGGTGACCTTATAGTCGTTTATAAAATCATGAGAGCATAGTTAAGGTAAATAGCAAAAGTCTTTTCTCTAGGGTGGGGGATATCATAATTAGGGGGCATATTTTTAAGGTGAGAGGAGAAAGATTTAAAAAGGACATGAGGGGCAACTTTTTTACTCATAGAGGGTGGTTAGTGAGTGGAATGAACTGCCAGAGGAAGTGGTGGATGCAGGTATAGTTACAATATTTACAAGATATTTGGATAAGTACATGAGAAGGAAAGGTTTGGAGGAATATTGGCTAGATGCAGGCAGGTGGGACTAGTTTAGTTTGGAAACATGGACAGCGTGGACTAGTTGGACCAAAGGGTGTGTTTCCACATGATATGACTCACTTCAGAAGGCAGCTCACCACCACTTTCTCAAGGGCAATTAAGGATGGGCTATAGATGCAGGCCGAGCCAGCAATGCCCATATCCTATGAATAGATTTGAAAAAAGCTGCTAGTGCTGATGAGTTGGTAAATTCTGTTCTTGCCACTTATCAGAAGCACCAGCTGGACCTACATATGCTTCCCCTATGTATAGTAAACATTTGCATTTGGGAATTGCAACTGAAGGTGTGTGACATGCTACAGAATACTTTCAAACAAGTTGGAAACCACACGTTAAGCAATGATACCACTTTCAGAGGGATAAGTGTTATGAACAGCAGTCTTAACGATTATGGATCTTTGGTGTAAGTAATCAAAGCCTTCCCAGCTTGGCAGTTTGACTATGGAAACTTCCTGCTAGGCAAAATACAAGGATGTAAAAATGTGAATTGAGTTTCAAGTTCAATTCAGTTCCAAAACATTAAATTTTGTGTGAAATAATGTGGTATTGTCAAAATATTGAAATTTGCAAATTTGCTTAATTATAGCTGGAACTACAGCTTTCGATTCCATTCTAATGTAGTCCCATAACAATTCTGCAAACACAGAGCTTGGGTTGAAATCTGAGAGGGAAGTTGATAACATGCTGATTAATTTAATTATTTAAAATGTGGGTAGTAAACAACTGATGGACCTTATTTAGTGAGTGTTGAGAATGAACAGTGCTAGTCATTTGATTGACTTGACCATAGGTAAACTTTCCGATAGCAAGTACTTTTACTTAAACAAAAACAACGTTGCTGGAAAAGCTCAGCAGGTCTGGCAGCATCTGTGGAGGAGAAAACTGAGTTAATGTTTCGGGTCCGGTGACCCTTCCTCCGAACAGTTCTGAAACGTTAACTCTGTTTTCTCCTCCACAGATGCTGCCAGACCTGCTGAGCTTTTCCAGCAACTTTGTTTTTGTTCA